TGGTAACACTTGAAAGGTGAGGAACTTAGTCGATGTTAATATTTAAGTCATTTTGGAAAGTAGTTAACAAAGAACTTCACATTGTTTCTGATCTCTCACAGTCCACGCGGAGCTGCAGAGCTGCAGGAGGCCTGGTGCGCAGAGCAGAGGAACAACCAGAGGCGAGGCCGTTGGCAGGCAATTGTAAAGCAGATGGTGGAGGTCTCTTCGGCTCTGGCTCCCACAGGTAGGGTATCCTGCAGCGCCTTGGAAAGCAGCTTTTCTAAAATTTTATTTTAATTTTGTTTTATGTTTTGGTTTTCTGTTAGTTTTAGTTTTTTTATTTTATTTTAATTTTTATTTATTTTGTTTTTGGGCATTAACCATGCCTCATGACTGGGGAAGACTGCGTGGCGCCCCCTGGAGGTCAAGATGAGAGTCTGCCCTCGTAATGGGCCCATTCCTTTGGCAAGGTAAGATTTATGAAGGAAAGCAATCTATACATCATCTTCAAGTTAGCTGATTACTAAATTAGCTATTTAAAATTAGCTTTAGAAATTAATTGATTACTAATAGTTTATAAATATATATATATATATATGAAAACACCTACATTCCTAATTATAAATAAAATTAAGCTTAAAATTTTTACATGTGAATTTCAACATCATATGCTAGTCTGGCCATTATAAGTGAAGAGTTTGAATAGTTTATAAATCAGCCACAAAACTAAACTAAAAAAAAAGGGGGGGGGCATTTTAGCATAAACTTTGATAATGAAAATATTAAATTTAATTAGATCTAAAACCAGGAATAGTTTAGTTTTGAAAATCATCTTTCTTGAATGAGGCATTAACATGTTTCTTAATATCAAAAGTCTAGTGATTTCTCACTTTATGTTATTAATTCTTAAGTTGATGCAATACAAGTTTACTATAGTATTGTTACCAAGCAAGAGAGTCTATTTCATTTCAAAGGCTCAATTAAATGTTTGCCCTTAGCTTACTGTATGTCAGATATCTTTTGCAGTTATACATAGCCACTTCCTCTTGGAATTTAATTCTTTGTTTGCAAACTTAGAAACAATAAAAATCAGAAATACCTGTTACTAACTAAAACTAACTGTCACATTTGTATTCTATATTTGTTCCACACAAAAATATTTGATTAATTTTAAATAAAAATTAAATCACATGATTTATACATAAAATTAAAATTTAATATTAAAACAGTGAGAGTCACGTCAATATTTTACAGTAAAACAATTAGAAAATAAGTTTCCTAATTTCTCATTCCACTCATTCATTTAGAGGATTTTTGAGAGACATTGAGTGATAATTTCTTTTTTTCTTTTTACTTTTTTCTTTTTTTTAAGAAACTACTGTTTCTTGGAAGGCAAACAATTTATTGGCTTCCCTTTCATATTTCCAACACCATAAATCACTATTCAAGATTAAGATTTTGTGGAATGAACAAAGGCAATTTAACATTGACTAGATGCAAGTAATAAGTATAGATAGATCAAAAACAATTTAAAGTTCTTTATTAACTACTTTCCAAAATGACTTAAATATTAACATCTACCTAAGTTCCTCATCCAGCCCCTAAGATGCAGCCTTCATGCCCAATGCAGAAGGAGGTAGTTTGTCCTGCTGGAGCACCCGTAGGAAGCGCGGCCCACCTGCCTGGGGATTGGCTGTTTCCGTGGTTACAGTTTGTTTGGTTTCTCTTCCACTTAGGTGGAGGGATTTAGCTGCTGGTGGGTTAGCTGGGGTCACTCACACGGGGCCCCAAAAGGCGACCTCCCCTGCGAGGTCGCCCCCGCCAAGGCTGGGTCCCCAAGGTCGGGTCGTGGTGGGAAGGAGGCAGCGCCGCGGGAGCGCAGAGGAGCCGGAGCCTCTGGGTCCAGGGGCCGCGGGCCTCTGCGCGAGGCTCCAGGCTCCCTCACTTCGGGGCATTTTGGTGGCTTAGTCAAACTTTATCTCCTCTGACTAACCTTCCCTCAATGAAGGTGCACTGCCTTCCGCACTCCCTTCTTCTCTATTCTTTCTCTTAGTCTATTTTTTCATACATAATAGTTACTTTTTAAAAGTAGATTTCGTTCCCCCTTTATTATAGTTGAACTATGGTTGAAAAGTAGAGTTACTTAAGATTTACCATGTTTAGCGGCTTTAGCCAATTCTAAGTGATTCATTATAAACTTTAAATGTTTGCTGTCGCCACGTCATAATCAGCCTAGGGCTGCACTCACCTGCCAGCTAAAGGAAGCGGTTGAGGGTTTGAAATGCAGCCAGTCCGCGTTGAAATGTGCTGTAGGTGTAAAATGCACATCAGATGTTGACTACTTAGTTTGCAAACAAGAATGTAGCCTTTTTAGGTTGAACTTTATAACAGTTTTTAACTGATTACATGTTGAAATACTATTTTGGATAAAATAAGTTACATAAAATATATTATTTAAGTTAACTTCACCTGTTTCTCTTTATTTCTTAAAACTTTGCTACTAACTAGAAAATTTAAGATTACAAATGTGCTCGAATATGTAATTGGACAGAGCTGATCTCAAGATCAGCCGAGGAGCACAGAGGGACATATAGTGGAAGTGACTCTAACCTTTCCCCTAGTCTCCTGTCTTTCTTTCTACATAAAGTTTTGTATACCTGTGTATTCTGCTTTATAGCACGTTAAAAAAAAAAAAAAAAGTTTCACCTAACCTTTGAATTGCACTTTAAGTTGTTTTGATTACAGAATCACATTTTGCACCAGTGGTGGTGTTTTGTTCTCCTTTAGGTGAGAAAGATTGTGGATGAACTGAGTATTTTTAAACTAGCTTTTAAAATTATGAAAGTACTGCATATTTATTATTTTAAAAATCACTCAACATAAAGGTATGAAATGACTATCAAAAGTTCCTCAATGCCTCCCAGCATGTTTCTGTCTAAAAATAAAGGGTGTGTGTGGTTACATAAGAGTGATATTACTCTGCCTCTCTCTCTGATACCTGCCATTTTTAAATTATTTCTCTGTGGCTATATTTCCTGAGGAGGATAGTAAGTGTGCTTATTTTTATTGAAAAACTAGTATAGTATTCTATTCCTTGGCTGCATTATATTTTATCTGTTTTCCTATTGAGTACGTAGGATATCTATACACATTAGTGGTGTAATTGTAGATTCACATGCAGCCTTAAAAAAATAATACTTGTACACAAATGTAGCCTTGTATACACTGTCCAGTGTCTCTCAGTGATAATATTTTGTAAACTATATTATAATATCATGACCAGGATATTTATATTGATGCAATCTGCTTTATTTGTACTTATTTGTATGTGTATATGTCCTATATAATTTTTATTATCTGAATAGATTATACTACCACCATCAAGATACTGAACAGTTCCAACATTATAAGGATCTCTCATGTTGGCCTTTTATCATCATAACCATCTTCTTCCAACACAATCAGCTCCCAACTCTTATCAACCACTTATATGTTCTCCATTTATAAAATTGTGGCAAGTAAAAATGTTACAGAAATGGAATCCTAAAGTATCTCATGCCTTGGTCTCTCAGCATAATTCCATCTTAAATCCACCAAAAAAGTTGATTTTGAGATGTATGAGTAAAATAAGGCAAAAAAAAAAAAAAAAAAAAAAAAAAAAAAAGAAGAAGAAGAAGAAGAAGAAGGGAAGGAAGGGAAAAGAGGGAGAGAGGGAGGCAGGCAAATCCAAGAAGACAGAGTTCAGAGGTCAAAAGGCCAGGGACTTGAGGAAAGAATGAAAGTTTGGAATAGTCTCTAAAATAAAATAATAGCTGACTAGTACAGTTATTTTCAAAATTATTTTTACCAAGAGCCACAATAAAACAACAAAAAAATAGGTTACATTGTAATTCAAGCACACATACATACTTTAGAAACATGTTTGTTTTTTAAACAAATCTTTAGCATATATAGTATAATTATAGTTTTTTTTTCTGGCCTATTTTAATATTTTCTATCCTATCCTGTCATTAATACTTGATAATCAAGAGGCACTAAATTAACTTTTTGATCTGCTAATGGGTTATGATAAACAATTTGAAGATTATTAGAAAAGGAGATGTTCAGAAGGATTGCTGGGCAGATGAATAGCTTGAGTTTGGGGACCATTTGGTAGTGAAGAACAGAATTTGAATTCAGGATGTCTGAATTATGATCCTGCCCCCATTACTTATTAATGTAATGGCTATGGACAGTTAAGTAACCTCTTCAAACCTTAGTGTTCTCATCTATACAATGACTTTCATGACCTTTAACTTTTAAGTTACTCTGAAGATTATCCATTTTACAAATGTCTTCTAGTGCCTGCCTTGTCACAGCTACTTAATACTTGGAAGCTAATGATAGTGATGATGATGATGACATGAAGTTATACTGAAATATACTTATTAATGCATATATATTATAAGTATTAAAGATTTAAATGGCCCATCTGGCATGGTTCAGTGATTGAGCATTGACCTATGAACCAGGAGATCATGGTTTGATTCCAGGTCAGGGCACATGAGTCAATCCCCAGTCAGGAGCAGGCAGGAGGCAGCCAGTTAGTGATTTCCTTTCATCATTGATTTTTCTAACTCTTTCTCCCTCTCCCTTTCTCTCTGAAATCAATAAAATATATTAAAAAAAGATTTAAATGAAATAAATTTTGATTTTACATGCCATAATTATCCAATATTTCATGTATTGTTGCAAAAACACGGCACTTTCTGCTAAAATGAACAACTCGTGAGTTAATGAATAGAAACTAACATTATATTTTCCCCATATATAGACGTAGGTTGTTCTCTTGTATTTTAATCTCTGAATATTCAAGCTGATCATATGCATTTTTCCATTAATAATTTCTATGAGGATGAGTTTTTCTGTGAAGTTTCTTGGTTCAGGAAGGCAAGCCAGCTTATTCCATGTAATTTTTCCCTTAGAGAATTAAAAGTCTAGGGAAATGGTTTGACACCATTTTGTAGTCAAACATTGTTCTTAAATATATGGTACAGATATGATAAGGTGTGATAAACATTTGTTAAGCTAAAATGTGTATATATAACAATGTTGGATTATTATGACACGTTAAAGAACCCACAATTTGTATTAGCATATTAGCCTCTTTAATTTTCTTTGATTAGTTCTGTGATTTATTGTAAAGGATGATGGAAGATGCTGATGATACAAAGATCAATGAAGAAATAGAAACTGAATTGGATAAAATCAGCATTTCTTCTTTGGAAAAAGATGATGTAGACACTGATTCAATCTCAGAAATCCAGAGTGATGAGAGTGATGCTGTAAGTGTTAAGTTTTGGACTTTTGAGCCCTTTAATTGGAGGAAACTTTTCAGGAGATATTTTACTTTCTCAATGTGTTTTGTGTCTTTATCTCATGTTTAACCTTAGGATCATCTTTAAACAGTGTAAATTGATAGATGTTTAAATATAAAAGTTTATTGAAGACAAAAATCACCTTATTAAAGATAAAAGATTATTTAAGATAAAACTCATCCACATTCTTATGTGTATTTTTTTGGTAAAATTGGAATTATACCATGTTATGTATATACTAGAAGCCCGATGCATGAAATTCGTGCAAGAGTACACCTTCCCAGCCAGCTGCCTGGATCCCTACCTCGCAGCAGTGGCAGCTGCAATCCCAGCATTGTCCTGGAAGGATGTCCAATCTAATTAGAATATTACGCTCTAATTATTATATATATTTGTATCCTGCTTTTTAACATTAATCATGAACGTTCTAATATGAATATATATGGATGGAAGCAAACTTTATGTGAAAAGATCTATAGGGGTAATGCTTTTTAAAAAAAAAATCAAACATGCTATCTTTTCACTTGTATATTTCTTCCAATGTTTATATGCTTTAAAAATCTGTTTATGATTTATTTTCTTACCTCAAAACTCTTAACCCAATGGAAATTTATGTTACAAAATGAAGATCTAATTTGAAATTTCCTTGAACATACTTATCTAATGTTTCTAGTGTCACTTGTTGAATAATCCAACTTTTCTTAATTGATTTATTTTATCTTTTTATACATTTAGTGTTTTACATATGATCTATCCAAGATTATCTTATATTTTCCATTAATCTTAATGTTTTATGTATTAGTTTTATATTTTTCAATTTCAAATGAGTCCAATTTTCTGTTTTGCAATTTCAAAATCTTCTCAATAAGTTTAAAAAAACAACAACACAAAACTCTCTTGCCAAGCTTCAAAAAATGACTATATTCTCAGTTTTATTTATTTATTTATTTATTTATTTTTAATATATTTCATTGATTTTGTACAGAGAGGAAGGGAGAGAGATAGAGAGCTAGAAACATCGATGAGAGAGAGAGTCATCGACCAGCAGCCTCTTGCACACCCCCTACTGGGGATATGCCCGCAACCAAGGTACATGCCCTTCACCGGAATGGAACCCGGGACCTTTCAGTCCCCAAGCCGATGCTCTATCCATTGAGCCAAACCAGTCTCAGCTATTCTCAGTTTTAATTAGGATTTCAATAACCTATACATATAATATTTGAGAAAATTTAATAATTTTACATTACTATGTCTTTTTAACCACACTTAATTTGAGTGAAACTAAATATCCTGATATTATTCATGTGATTATGAAATTCAACAGAATCATAGATATAATTCATAACACCTGAAAATGAAAAGCAAATTTTTACCATATATATATTTGTTTGAAATATTCCCCTTTTTTGCAGTTTTTATTTTTATTTTATTAAAACATTTTAATGTTTGCAGGTGTCCCTCTTCTCTCTCCCCTCTCCCCTGTTTCCTGCTCCCTTGGGCTTCATCACAATATTGTCAGTGTCCACAGGGTAAGCACACATGTTCTTCAGCTAAAGCTTTCACCTTCTTTATCCAGTCACCCTCTTCCCCTCCCCTTGGACACCATCCAGTCTGTCCCACACATCCAAGCTTCCGGTTCCAATTTGTACATCAGTTTATTTTATTCATTAGATTCCACATATTAGTAAGATGACATGGCATTTGTCTTTCTCTGACTGGATTATATTGCTCAGCATAATTCTCTCCAGGCCATCCATTCTGTCCCAAAGGGTAAAAGTTCCTACTTTTTTAGAGCAACATAGTATTTCATTGTATAAATGTACCGTAGATTTTTATCTGCTCATCTTGGCTATTGTAAATAATGCTGCTGCTATAAACAGGGATGCATATATCCTTTCTGATGGGTGTTTTGGGATTCTTAGGATATATTCCCAGAAGTGGGATCACTGGGTCAAAAAGCAGTACCATTTTTAATTTTTTGAGGAAACTCCATACTGTCATCCACAATGGCTGCACCAGTCTGCATTCCCACCACCAGTGCACAATGGTTTCCTTTCCTCCACATCCTCACCAGCACTTGTCATTTGTTGATTTATTGATGATAGCTATTCTGACAGGTGTGAGATGAATTATGCTCTTTATAGCCTTTTACCTCATCTATGCATTTTCTCACATTTTTTATGTGGAATGAAGGAGGGGATATTTGATACATAGTGTTAATGAAAAAGTTTATACTTTCATTATTGAAATTTTCAGGACTTAGTTGAATTACCGGAGTCAGTTCTTCACTGTATTAACATCATAAAGAAAAAGAGTAAAACTGCTGAAGAGCTCATTCTTCGGGACTTAGAAGATA